CGAAGAAACCAAGTAACTATGGCTTTATTTATTTGTGTTAATAGCCATCAAGGTGATGAACTGTTTAGCGTTCGAAAATTCTAGAGGCAAGAGATGTGCTTTAAGGTGGCTCCCTAGGGTTTTATTTCCGGGGGTTACGTTCTTCGTATATATGTAAACTAAAACTTGTGTGACTTCAAAATACGAACGAACGTTGTGTTTTATATGGAACTCTTTTTGAAACAAAAGTGTGAACTTTGTTTTAGTTGAAAGCATAAAAGAGTTCTAAAAGCCAAAACGATACTTGGATGTGATGTTTCAAAAGAAGATGTTATTTCTTTCAAGCGGTATTCTGGATGTTTTTTGAACCGCCGTACGCGAGGTTCGATCGTGAACATTGGGATATGATATAAAGTTTCCTCAAGAATTTGCAGTGTTTTCTCCACAATCTAGCAGCACTTATGACAATAAAGATGACTTAAATAATGAGCCCTCTACGGGTGAAATGAGCAGGGCCGAAACTCCAAACATGCCGCTATAAAAACTGAAATTTGAACAGGCATTTTGCGAAAACATCCGACGATAGTACTCGCACAGGACGAATTTTGACAAACATTTTTCAAACTTAATACCAAGAAGTCATAACCAGTAATTACCTAAATATCTTTGCCATTTTTACATGTATAATCCACGCTTAGTTGACCATTAACCGACACAGTTATAAACAGTATATCAAACATAATTTATATTTTGTGATTTCAAAAAGTCATGCCTTGTTGTTTTATGCAGAATGCATGTACAAGTCAGTTGGGGTATTAAATTGTTCGCGTAAAAATCTAGTAAAAATTGCCAAAATTAACCCCAAATTTCTCCGTTTTCCTTCGGTAAAATTTTTTAAAACTTTGCACATTTTTTAATATCGGTACAACAACTGCAATATCCTTTTTTCTTAAAATTAAATCGAAGGGAAAATTTTTAATATTGATTTTCGACGTTTTTTAAATTTTCTAAGAAACGTATCGATTTAACTTTTTAAATTGAGGGGAAAAATTCATTAAACAAGTATTATCTTTTATGCAGAGTTTTAAAAAATTTCACCGAAGGAACTTTTTAAAATTACGTGAAAAAGACAAATTTTGAGCTTTATTCTAAGCATGCTGTTGCCATGACAACATATTTTTAACACAAAAGTAGCAATTTGCAATGTTCAGGAGAACATTGTCAATGTGTCCAATAAATTTCGTCTTCATATCATGTAAAGTAAAGAAACAAGAGTCTCCTGAATACTATAGTGTAGTAAATTAAAAAACCCTAGGGAGCCACCTTAACTGATTATGAGTTTATTGATATGTGCAAGCCAGCCAAAACCATGAGTATATATAGTGTTCAGTTTGTAGATGTTTATAGTTTGAAAATAAACGCGGAATGTTGTTTAATCAGGCTTACTGTAATAAGATTCCTAGAGCAACCCAATGTGGATTGTTGTCTGCAGCACGGTCTGCACATATTGACTTTTATATTATAACACCAGCTAGCAATTTAATACATGTAATAGTATGTCAACTGACTGTCGGAATGCTCTACTAAAAGGGCCGTCCTTCACGACAATTCACTGTGTTTTTAATCGCCAAATTATTCGATTTTATTTCGTATGTTGTATTATGTTTACACACCTATTTCTCTCTCGCTTGCAATGTACTCTGTTGTTTTTGCTAAATGTCAATCATACAGCAATTATGTCCTTATATGGTGTTCATATCTAGTGTTTATTCATAACCTATTTATAGTCTGTTTCCAACATGATTTTTGTACAGGTATAAGACATGACTGTCTCGGTTTATATATATTATATATCTTTGAGGCCTCTGAGATATGTCCATTAATTGTTAGCATAGTATGAACACAAAAGCAAATGCTACGATACGTTAAGACGAAGTGGAAAACTGGCTTTTGTATCTTTATACAAACATTGTACAGTATTCAGTGGTAAGCAAGCCGTGGCAACTGACCATGCTACTATGCTAATAAACCTGCATCTATTTGAACAATGCAAATCATTAAAAACTTGCATAGCATGACCTGTTGCTATGGCCAGCTTCACCACTGACAGTATTATGACTATACATACAAAAGCAAGAAGTTATAAGCATTGAAGATATTCATATAAAACCCATGGCCCATGCAAAGAAAGTAGAATTAGAACATTTAGCCAACCTTCGACTTTGTGCAAGGTGTTTGATATTCAAATTGCATTTTTCATACCTCCTGAACAGGCGTTTTAGGGGCTGTTTGCATGATGGAAGGCGGTGATTTTGATGTATTGAAATATTAGTCACTATGTAAATGAACTTCAAATGCTGGTTAACAGAACTCAAATGTTGTAGAGAAGATCGCGTGGTTCAAGAAAGTTATTATGTTTGAACAACCTTTCGTTTATAGTTAACTATAATCCATCCATCTATATAAAATAATGAAGTTTTTTGCTGGCAGGGACGTCGTGAAGATATCAACATTGGGGGTCGTCATGTTTTGACCAACTTTTCCTAGAATTTTGACCAAGTAGTAGAAATGTTTCCCGAAAATGTTGTCCACGGGGCAGGGAGCAAAGCTTCAAATATTTTTCGACCAAAATAAGCAAGGCTTGCAATTGTTCAGTCAGCGCAAACATGACCAAAGTTTAGAAATTGTTAACATTGCGAACGATATCATAACTTTGATAATCTTTTATCTCAAACTTTGACTGAATCTTACCAACTTTGACCTTCAATTTTAAACAAATATTAGTTCCATTTTGACCAACTTTCACCAACATTTAGAATTATTGGGGGTGTGTTACACCCCCTCGGGCATGATAATATGTGTAAATGATGCTTTGTTTTAGTTGAAAGCATAAAAGAGTTCTAAAAGCCAAAACGATACTTGGATGTGATGTTTCAAAAGAAGATGTTATTTCTTTCAAGCGGTATTCTGGATGTTTTTTGAACCGCAGTACGCGAGGTTCGATCGTGAACATTGGGATATGATATAAAGTTTCCTCAAGAATTTGCAGTGTTTTCTCCACAATCTAGCAGCACTTATGACAATAAAGATGACTTAAATAATGAGCCCTCTACGGGTGAAATGAGCAGGGCCGAAACTCCAAACATATCGCTATAAAAACTGAAATTTGAACGGGCATTTTGCGAAAACATCCGACGATAGTACTAACTCGCACGGGACCAATTTTGACAATCATTTTTCAAATTAATACCAAGAAGTCATAACCAGTAATTACCTAAATATCTTTGCCATTTTTACATGTATAATCCACGCTTAGTTGACCATTAACCGACACAGTTATAAACAGTATATCGAACATAATTAGTATATTTTGTGATTTCAAAAAAGTCATGCCTTGTTGTTTTATGCAGAATGCATGTACACGTCAGTTGGGGTATTAAATTGTTCGCGTAAAAATCTAGTAAAAATTGCCAAAATTAACCCCAAATTTCTCCGTTTTCCTTCGGTAAAATTTTTTTAAACTTTGCACATTTTTTAATATTGGTACAACAACTGCAATATCCTTTTTTCTTAAAATTAAATCGAAGGGAAAATTTTTAATATTGATTTTCGACGTTTTTTAAATTTTCTAAGAAACGTATCGATTTAAGTTTTTTAAATTGAGGGGAAAAATTCATTAAACAAGTATTATCTTTTATCCCCCTGTAGCGACATCCCTGTTTGCTGAATCATGCACCGTGACTTATTTCAGTATATCGAAATCATCCTGCCTCATATCTCGTCCTGGTGGGATCATATAAACAGGACCCTTATTCAGCAAATTGCTCATGCTGCCTTCTTCTCTTGGGGGTGAGGCAGCATTTTCCTTGCGATAGTAACTTCTAGTTTAAATATGGACTGGCCGAGAATATTAAATATACTCAGTCGCGAAAGCTGACTTTTCTATGTCAAAACGCCCCCGGCCACGTTTTATGAAACAGAAACTTGAACACTGATACCAAGAAGAGTTATTGTGTGTTTTTTTGTTACTTTGTGTTTAAAATATGACCTTGTTAAGCCAAATTTTAGGCCAGAATCATGGGCGCAGAACGCAGGAAATGGCATTTCCAGGGTTCAAATTTCAAAAAATTTCAGGGGGGCATGCCCCCGGACCCCCCTAGTTATGCGAGACCTAGGAATATGATACGGTCACATTTTAAGCTACATCCACCCCTGGCCATGACAGTAGCGAGTTGGCTATAACGGCATTTGATGATTTACTTAATGTTTACTATTACCATCCTATATTATGGACGCTTTATTATACTTGCAATGCGTTATACAACCGTACACGGTGGGCATAAAAGACAGCGAATTTGGCCAAGTACATATAACTTTCTCTCGTTAGTTTGGAATATCACGAAACTCCCTCACAGGATAGAACTTAACATTCCTAAAAATCGTATGTTTTTTGTTTTTCGATTTTGTTACATTTTGGCGGGAAAATGACGTGCCAACTTTGGCGCCAAAAAATTAAACACGAGCTAAGAACATGCTAGTAACTTTTTCGAAAAGATTGTCCTATAAGGATCTCAAAACTGTAAAAACATTAAAAATACAACAAGGCAGTGCGAAGATATGGCGATTCAAAGTTCTATTTTTACTGAAAAATCAGCCATTTTGTTACTAAAAATAGATTTTTTTCGAACTTTGAATCGCCATATCTTCGCACTGCCTTGTTGTATTTTTAATGTTTTTACAATTTTGAGATCCTTATAGGACAATCTTTTCGAAAAAGTTACTAGCATGTTCTTAGCTCGTGTTTATTTTTTTGGCACCAAAGTTGGCACGTCATTTTCCCGCCAAAATGTAACAAAATCGAAAAACAAAAAACATACGATTTTTAGGAATGTTAAGTTCTATCCTGTGAGGGAGTTTCGTGATATTCCAAACTAACGAGAGAAAGTTATATGTACTTGGCCAAATTTGCTGTCTTTTATGCCCACCGTGGTAAACCTGTACAAGCAAATGAAGTCCGAATTATGGACTATTGGCAGGCAGAGAAGCCCGAAGTATGGATATCGGGTAACATGGGGGGTATAAACGATATTCTCATATTAGATCTAACAACACCAGAGTCCAGTTACCACGTTCTTGTTGGTGTTTCATACATTTCCAAATACGAGCCTGACAATGAAACGGAAAATCATGTCAAAACTTTATACCGCGTACCACAGAAATGGGCAAAGCGTTTGTTTATCCGAAGAACCAGCAATGATTTTTATATGCATTTGGCCCCATATGATTTTTGTTGTCGACAAATACTTGAGAGAAACGAGGTTCAAATAGTTGAGTGTCGTTCGTTTACAATCCCGTTTGAATATGCAATTGATGAAACATATTTTCACGTTGGTGTGGGACCTTACTGGCACGATACACACGATGTGTATACCGATGTTAGCATTCATGCAGGGCTAAAACGTCTTAACGCCATTACAACAGAGCCGTTTGGGAATGCAGCCAAAATGATTTATGCACTGGGGACATACGATCCAAAACTTCGGTAATCAAACACATGAAACAAGTAAACATGATAACGGTGAAGTTACTAATAAGTCAAAAATTGTATGTTATAAGGGCAAACATATAAAGTATATATTGCAACATGTTTTAGTTTGTAAAGAATGTATTGTGTATTTGCATAAATATTCAGTTTTGTTAAGTGATTGTATTGAAAGGTGTCACCCATATGATGTTAGAAAGGGTGGGAATGTGGATGTTATGTATAATGGTATACCATGTTTTAGATATGTGCTAGATGCAAACTTTGATTTGCTGAATGAAAGTGGTTTTAATGCTCCTCTAAAGGAAATTAAGAACCAGACAGGTGTGACAAATATATGTAAAGATATTGTTACTGTTTTTATGGAAAATCTTTTTTAAGATGACATTATATAATTTGTACGATTTATATAAATTTTTATACGTTGCATATGCTGTTATTGATTGTTACGGTGAGATTCGTTGGATTATCCATATATGGAAGCGGGAAGATGTAAAATTAATTTCAATATTTTTTATGAATCGGGTTTTATATTACAGTTGTTGACTAAAAACCGCAGGTATAAAATCATTTCGTTTTTAAAGAACAAACTATTACGAATTCTAGATTGTGAACAAATGCAAATTGTTTATTTTTTAAAAAATGGCTACTACAACACGTACGTTTTATTTTGAATCCACTGCTCATCTTGCCGACGCAGAAACAAAAGTACTTAGTGCATTGGAAAAATGCAAAGAGAATATGGGTTTGCATTACTACAAGTATATGAGATATTATTTACAATTGTCTGCAAAAACATTTCGTTTTACATTTGATAAACGCGTTATTTGTGATGATTTTACAACCATACCCTACGGCTATCAACGCTAAAACACCGTATTTATTTTTACAGGGCAATAAAATGAAAACCTGCACAATACCATTTCAACACCCATTTATGATGACAGTTTGCGGGCCATCACAAAGTGGTAAAACACATTATATCATGAATATAATTAAACACAATGAAACACTTATCGAACCACCCGTTGACAAACTTATATACCTATACTCTGTGGAACAACCAGGTTACGACATCAACAAACACATACGCGACAACGCACAGACATCAATGCTGCAAACATACGAATTCAAGGACTGTAACAATGGAATACCACCAATGGAGGAACTAAAACCAATGCTGGGCAAAGCAACACTTTTAGTTTTAGATGATTTAATGGTGATTGCGGCATCAAATAAAATAAATCTTGAAAATTTAAATAATATAGCATCGCGCGACAGCCATCATTCGAACACCTCGGTTATCTTTGTATGTCAAAATCTAAATTTTGGTTCGGGAAAATTGCATAGTTGCCGTGTAAATAGTCAATATCACACAATGTTCAAAAATCTTACAGACTCTAGAGATGTGGAAATGATTGCGAGTAATAAAAAAATATCCTTGAATGTTTTACACAAAATGCTTACAGACATTGGAAAAAAAACAATATGGGTATTTGGTGTTTGATGGTTCACCTAAAAGCTATGTAAATTCATGTGTACGCAGCAGTATATTTCCCGAGGATGAAACCACTATATACGATGTTGTGAGGGATGTTGTGTAATCATTGGGATATTTACATGTTGTAGATAAATAAAAAAGAGAATTGAAATAAAATAATTTATTTTCAATAAAACTGCAAAATATCTACATTTGTCAGTCTCTACATTTGTTCTACAAATATCTGTTTCTAAAAATGTTTTACATATTTGACCTTCCCCCTTATTACATTTACGTGTATACACACTTTTTAAACTTGGAAACAAACCGAAAGCTAACCTCTGTAAACGTTTTTCGTTTTCTATTGCGTCCGTAATAAAAGTGTAAATAACAGGTTGTTTGTCATAATATGCTTTTAAAAATAACAAACACCACACACCGCATGTTCTACTAATATGAGATTGTCTTTGTTTATCATTATACATTGATATGCTACAACCTAATTTGAAAAAATGTTATCCAATATGCATGTTTAAAAAATGTTGGTGTCTTACCATAACTGTCAAAAAAAATAATATTGTTATTGTTTTTAACAACAGCAATCCAGTGTGTACCGGGTTTATCTTGTCCGTCAACATTCCAAATCCAACAACATTGATCTTTAATACCATTCGGTGTTACATCAGCAGGATAACATCCCAAATAATAGCGGTTAATCACATTGTCTTTTCGACCCAAAATATCTAACTCATCAGTGTTTAAAAATTTACTAATGAAACATCTAATATTCATGTTGACTATGAAAATGATTGAAGATATCCGTCCACCATATAATCACATGGTTCTCCCAATTTTCTTTTGCGCAACTGCGCCGCTTTCATAGGTCGACCGCGTGGACTTTCGTCTGTCCGGTAAGCTGGTGGGGAGGTTTGTAGTATGGGTTCCGGCGTTTCTGCTACTTCAAGATCTCTGTATTTTTTATGTAGTTCCCTGTTGCGTATATACTTTGCAGGCATACGCGATTTCTTTAACATGAGAAGAACTTTGTCGGTTTGAGCGTTAGATAAATTTGTCTTTGTTTTTGCAAAATTATGTGTTAAATAATCAATCATATCCTCATATGCAATATTCAGAGTTTTGCCAGCGTGTTTTATACCTTTCGGCACAGCTACTATACCCTTAAGTTTTAAGTGTTTTTTAATTTTTTGCTCATGGTATGCAATTGTACAGTATGTAGATGTAGATGTTCCACGTTTTTAGCAAGTTCTCCAAGATATTTATCTTTTTTACGCATATAATTGACAATGTTTGCGGGTCCCAAAGATGATTTATTTTTCACACTCGTTACCATTTCCCCATGACTATCAACAAGTTCAGCTTCTGCAGGTGTTCGTTTCGAATCGTCAAGTATTTTTTGCCGGTTTGTTAGGTCTTGTAGCAGCAACATTAGATTGTTGTGCTTTTCGGCGTCGATTAATGTTAGCAGTCTTATGTTGTCCCCCATGGTCTTCCTCTATACTTTTAACCCTTCGCAGAAATAAAAGTTTAAACGAAAATCCTCCAATAAATGTAATCGTATGTCTTCTGTCGCTGTGGACTTGTCGGTAATGTAGTGCATTAACCCCCTGTCTGCCGGTGATATATTTTCAACTGGTATTTTTCCATTAATAATATTCTCACATGGTACAATAAATTTTTGATTAGGTTTGGTGTTAGTAACTTTGAACGTTGTCCAAAACGAGAATTTAAATACTTCTTAGTTGCCGGGATAAATTGTCCTTGTTTACGTTTAGCCGCACTTGATTTTCTTGCTTTAATCAGCTGATGTAAAAAAACACGATATGTTTCATCATCTAACCCACCATCATCATCATCATCGTTATCATTACTATTTAAATTATTATTACCAGCATCGTAGTCAAAATAATCGTTATTTTGAGCGTTATTACCACAGCTGTTATCGTAGTAATCATAATAATTACCCGGTTGTTGCTGTTCTAATTTTATATCGTCCTCTTCATCTTCATAAATAACGTCTTCATTATCAGTTTCACCCTTTTGTTCACTGTTTTCGTTAACAATTTCACTGTCATTATTATCATCATTGTCATCGTTTGTTATATTAGGATTAGCAGGTTCAGCCATATTTTGATACCACAGGTTTAATGTGAATTGTTCGCACAGCAACACCCTCACCACCAATGATACATTTACTGCGAAAGGTTGGTATTTTTACAGCGTTTAAAGGACGTTTACATTTAATTTTTCTTCTTCCTAATCTTTTACAAGGCATATTGAAAAAAAGTCTTTTTTTTTACCCTAAAAATCGTATATTAACCTCGCCTGCGTCTGATAACCATCTGAAAGTTGATTTGTAAATTCACCAATATATAATTCTGAGATAAACGCATTTCTAAGCTCACCACACCGCTGGTTGAATTGGGTAACACTTGATTGTAACTGTCTTTATTTGGCGATAAATCAGTTACAATAATACCATAACTGGTTTGATAATCTGCATGCGAAAATGACATTTCGTCATAACGACGATTTAAAACGCGTCGCAAATTTGTATATGCTTCACATGAATTTTCTACACACGGATTCACATAGGCATCATTAATTTTGATGCCAAAAAATTCCAAATTGGTAATCTGCATGTGAAAATGACATTTCGTTATAACGACGATTTAAAACGCGTCGCAAATTTGTATATGCTTCACATGAATTTTCTACACACGGATTCACATAGGCATCATTAATTTTGATGCCAAAAAATTCCAAATTGGTAATCTGCATGTGAAAATGACATTTCGTTATAACGACGATTTAAAACGCGTCGCAAATTTGTATATGCTTCACATGAATTTTCTACACACGGATTCACATAGGCATCATTAATTTTGATGCCAAAAAATTCCAAATTGGTAATCTGCATGTGAAAATGACATTTCGTTATAACGACGATTTAAAACGCGTCGCAAATTTGTATATGCTTCACATGAATTTTCTACACACGGATTCACATAGGCATCATTAATTTTGATGCCAAAAAATTCCAAATTGGTAATCTGCATGTGAAAATGACATTTCGTTATAACGACGATTTAAAACGCGTCGCAAATTTGTATATGCTTCACATGAATTTTCTACACACGGATTCACATAGGCATCATTAATTTTGATGCCAAAAAATTCCAAATTGGGGAAAGGAATTAAATTTGGATCAAGGATATGTGAACCATTGTAACGTGTTTGCGTTCTTAAATAAGTTATATCACGCAATGGTCTGGAACCTGTAAAAATATCATTTAATATTATGCGGCTTGTACCCACAGCCACCGGTGTGGGAACATAACGATACGATGTGATATAGTATTTGCATTCTTCACCATTCTGAATCATTGCTTGATTGATTGCTTGGGTTAATTACAACTTTGGTTTCATGGCCGGAATTCTGATTTGTAAATTATCATAATGAATAAAATGCCACCTCACATTGAGCATCAGCCCCAAACAAACATTTAGTTTTCTCTAAACGCCGTAAAATTACCTTGATTTCAAATGATGTGGGTACAAAACGTTTATTGTCACCCATGATATCAATTAAATCGTAACATTCAAGTCGGGTAGCCCGATTACACGCCAGATAACGATTTCTCGCTCCCTTATTAACATTACCCACTGCGCCATCGTGAACATTTGTACGAGTATCAAAATGAGTCGGGGTAGAATGGATACATAAATTGATATCTTGCCCAGGTTTATACCCCGTAGGTACTTCTTGAAGTAAATGGCTAATATAGACCAATTCATTTTCTTGGGACGTCACACTGTTGATATGTTGGTCGTTTATTAAAATTTCCTTTGTTTTCCAAAACATGCATAACGGTAGTATATTCAGCGAAACATTTTGGTCGTTACCCAAATCAGCGTTGTGCCGATCTTTCAACGATATGGTAGTGGAGATTGTTGCATCTTGAAGATTCATAATTCCATATTCTTGTTTGTGATGTATAAATGTATATACATCTGCGTTACTGTCAACAGGTGTAGCATTAACCTGTAGCGTACAATTATCAACAAACGTATCATTGTGCGGAAATGTTGGAAACATAATCATCAGTAACAATATGAAATTGGTCGAAGACCCGTACTCAGGAAATAAAATAACAACATAAAACGCTCTCTGAGTTTCCAGCGATATACATACCCTTTTCTAGATATATACCTAATAATAATAAGCGAACGAACGAATGTATTCCTTCCACTCGTGAGCTCATTTACCATTGTCACATATAGTAAATGTCCAGGCCTTGTGACCCTGGATGGGCACTTAAAAGGAAAGAATACACACACACAAAGGTTTATTTATTCAAACATTATTATTATTCATATTTCCTGATATGGTTTGTTATGATATGACGACAAGGAAATGAGTTGTGTGAGACATATTGTTATGCTAATGATAATTTGGTAGGTAGCTAACAAGAGGCATTCACTTTGGACGTTCGTTCATGCGCAGTTGTTCAATCGTTCTCTTGTAATGGTTGAATAAATAAACCTTTGTGTGTGTGTATTCTTTCCTTTTAAGTGCCCATCCAGGGTCACAAGGCCTGGACATTTACTATATGTGACAATGGTAAATGAGCTCACGAGTGGAAGGAATACATTCGTTCGTTCGCTTATTATTATTAGGTATATATCTAGAAAAGGGTATGTATATCGCTGGAAACTCAGAGAGCGTTTTATGTTGTTATAATCATCAGTGTCATAAACCCGCTGTCATGAACCTCAACAGGTTCATCGGGGTTGACTTGTCATGCACGTTTACTCATCTTGCAGCAACAGTTTGTATGCAAATGATAAAGAAACACATAAAAAACAATGCTTTATAAGATAAAATTGATTTATTCACAATATTTAAATTTTACAACTAATTTCAAATACTAAATGTTTAAATTTTACAACTAACTTCAAACACTAAATGTTTATCTTTTTTTACAGTCCGAGGCGGCTGTTTTCTAACTGGTTGTTTTTTAAATTGGTTGTCTTCTCGCATAATAACGGGGTTGTGGTTGATAATAACGAGGTGGTGGTGGTTGATAATAACGAGGTGGTGGTGGTTGATAGTAACATAGCGGTTGATAATAACATGGTGGTTGTGTCTGCTTTCGACCACCCCCGCCATTATTATTAACTGTTTCCTGTTTCTTTTTTCCAAAAATACCAGGTAAAATTTTACCCGCAGCTCCCGAAAGCATAGGTAAAGCCATACACATCGCCAGACCCGCACTGATTGCACCACCTTTTTTCGTTGTTTTGTTCTTCTTAAATCATATCTATTTGCCCACCGGACCATATAACCCGCATTTTTCTTAGCTGCTTTGAAGTTTACCATTATTTATCTCCGTATATATGACGTAATACACTATTGGATACCAAACGTCTACCACCGTTTGTTTGTGGTTGTTGTTGTTGTATTTGACCAGTTCTTCGAATCTTGGGATTTGGCATATAATACGGGTTAAATCGTGCTGGAGGGGCCACTTGATCTAATGCACGTTCCTCTGTAGATTTTGCAGTATTGGGTAGATGAACCAAATTATGCTCTATATATTGCACTCCGCTACCATGCAATAATTTGTAATAATCGTCCTTGTTCATGTTTAATTTTCGTCGAAAATGTTCAAAATAACTTCTAAGTATTTACCCGTATTCGGACTGTTGTTTTGTAGCGGTGTATAATTCTTCCACAATATTTTAAAATGAATAGTTTGCTTCAACTGCTCGAGACTGCGGGCAAACATAAAATGGGGTAATTTTCTTTTTGTACCATTTATATTCGGTGCATTTGTATTACTCGTACCTTCAAAATAATTAGTTAATAATCGCGGGGCAGAACCAAAACATTGTAAACCGATACCATGGATATATACGTTATTGATACCTTTTACAACGGTTAATTTTCCCTTACCAAAAACACCTTCTACTACTTTTTCTTCACCGTCACTTAACTCACTATAATCCATTTTTCGTGTATAATACAGTCCGAATTGCACAAAACCACTCTTAAAGTTTGTATTTATGCATGACACATTGTAATACTTGTTTTCGCTTGCTATATGCAAAGAAGATTTGACATCGTGTAACTCGTATTCTTTAGGTATCAGTTCTGCATTTTTAACTTCCAATTTTAATCGCAGCATTTCTTTACTCGATTACACACTCTATACCCACAGTACCCGCACTGAACTGTATTAAGAGCGTGTGTCTCTAAAAACCGCCCACTGACTTGGGGCTCGAAAAATAAATTTCTTCAAAACTTTTACCGTGAACTACATTTACTTTAACAACAAACAAATGTTGTTTGGAATTTTGAAAATATATTTAGTTTCAAAGTTTTAGCGATTTTTTGGTCTCGCACCGTCGCGGGAGAAATTCGCCGGCTAATTAAAAGACAAAATGGGCTGAATTTAAATAAACATAATTTCAAAAGTTTTTGTTCAAAATTTCTGATATTCACACCCAGCACCGGAAAACTATCGTAATTTCATTTAAACTATAAACTTAGTTTTCAATTACAGAGCATTTGTGACAATATTTAGCGACAAAATACGGCTACGACATGTCAAAATACGGCTTTCAAATCCTACTATTTTGTACGCTGAATTTCTTAAAAGTGGGACATAATTACTTACAGTGACTAGTATAGTTGGAAAAAGGACACTTTGAAGTTCTAAAAACCGTAATAAAACTTGTCTGCAAACGCGATTTGAACAATTGAGAGCGTTCGAAATTTGATACTCTTTATGGCCTTTTGTTTACATTAGAATGTTGCTGAGGTCAGATGTCTAGCTGAGTTCGTGTCACTGCTAAAAATGTGCTGTAGTTCTGCCAAATAACCTTTCCCTCAAATTAGTTTATAGCAATACAGGGTGTATAAAAAAAAACGCAACCTCGGAATTTCCTAAGAAATCACTTTGCAATTCTTAAAGGACATTGGCAACCAAAATTTTTATTACTTAATCTATTAGGTATACTTACGGAATATTTAATTTCATATTTTGGCCGGTCTGTCGCGTTTAGTTGCTGAGAAAATTTGATTGAATTTGAGAAAATTTGAACAGTTGTCCGCCATTTTGAAAATAAGCGCGTATGCTGATTTATGCCACAAAATACATTATCTGACGTCATTGGCTGGGTAAACACAATCTCATGACTATAAACAATACCGTGTATTACCACACGTAGTGCATTTTGAGCCAAAACAAAAGGCAGAAAAGTTTTACCAAGTATGTAACTTGTTTGTAACACTATTTCTCATAGTATATATCCTACTCCGTGTTAAATAAGCGCAGAAATCGAGTGTAACAAGGCAAATACTAATGCAATATTTTATAATCAATTACCTGCATTGTAAGTTGCGCCATTTCTTGCTTTCCCAGTCGCTCGATATGTTTTTATCTAATAGTGTAGACTTCTCTTGTTTGATTGCGAAGAGTGTTGGCCAGTATAACGCTCAAAACGACATTTTTTAGCTAACATAACACGCACGCAATAGAATTCTCTCATGTAGTTTTGGTGCTACCCAGCCAATGACGTCACAAAGTTCATTGACCTTCGAGATAATTTTTCAAAAATATTTTCCAAGATGGCGGCGAAACTGGCTGAAACACGAAGTTTGCATGCATTTTACTCGTAGACTAAAATGTTCAAGAAGGAAATGATAATATTTTCATAGTTCGGTTGTCAAGTAGGATTGAAATAGCCAATAAAAATTTTCGTTGCCAATGTCCTTTAAGCATAAAAGATTTTAGGCCCCTGGGAATTGAAATCGAATTGCTAATAGATCATATTACTGTTGTTGTGCATGAAATAAATGCATAAATTTTGCTTTATGCACTCGCGTGTGCAGTAATTTTGACTAGTTGTGCTATTTTAAATTCCCAGGCGCCTAAAATCTTTTGTCTTTAAAACAATGTCGATTTCTTGGGAAATTCCTCGGAATGTCCCAAGAAAATAAAAAAAAACACAACCTCGGAATGTCCCAAGAAATCGACATTGTTTTAAAGACAAAAGATTTTAGGCACCTGGGAATTTAAAATAGCATAACTGTCAAAATTACTGCACACGCGAGTGCATAAAGCAAAATTTATGCATTTATTTAATGCATAACAACAGTAATATGATCTATTAGCAATTCGATTTCAATTCCCAGGGGCCTAAAATCTTTTATGCTTAAGAATTGCAAAGTGATTTCTTAGGAAATTCTGTGGTTGCGTTTTTTTTTAATCCACCCTGTATAGTACTAATCTATATTTCTTTGTTTATGTCCACCGTAAGTGGTTCCAAGGGATTTAAAATAATAGGCATGTTGAAATAAACAACTTGACCAAATTAATATGCTACTCTGGGAAAAGCCCGCATGCAGCGCGAATTCTATATGTGGCACATGCTATATTTAGTGTGATTTAGAGTTTGCGTTGCAGCATACTAAACTATTGCTCAGTTCGAAAAGTCTATAAATGTGCGAAGTTTAGTTCTGGAACCTTTCTGTGAAGTTGATCTTTGAATTATATTGCTGCAAAATTTGAGAATTGGTATGGATAAGCTGTGTTCTTTTAATGCTATCGGTTCAACTGTATGCGGAGGGTGTCCGGGTGAATCGGGTATTAGACGCTTAGAAGATTGTGATGAGAACATTCAAAACCATCTTTCAAGTTGCCGTTTGTCGAGATCTGGTTTTAGCGAGCGCGAGCTGATTTTGGGAAGAGCTGAATTTTTACATGAAATATCAAGAGAAGAAATACGCTCTATGACAGTGTGCCCAAACCACCAGTACAACTTGGGCTGATACTGGAGACCTCGTCTAACATGCCAACATCCTTCTCACACTGCGCCTGCACGTCGCGGCAAAGGAAAAGATGTCATTAACCTGGAAGCATCAAGGGATGTATTCCAAATTTATGGAGTACTTGTGCAAGTTGGTTCTCGTAAGTGATGAATATAGTCCAAATTAGAGATATATAATCGCATTGTTAATTTGTTATAGGCAATATAATTAGAGTTGCACCGGGAATAGGCCAGTGCGGCATTCGCATGGTAACATTGGAAATTAGAGGTATACTGTAGTATCACAGCGACATGCCGATAATTAGATTTTTACTCGGGCTAGTAAAGCTAATTATCAGCATGTCGCTGTGATACTACAGTATACCTCTAATTTCCAATGTTACCATGCGAATGCCGCACTGGCCTATTCACGCGGTGCAACTCTAATTATATTGCCTATAACAAATTAACAATGCGATTATATATCTCTAATTTGGACTATATTTATCACTTACGAGAACCAACTTGCACAAGTACTCCATAAATTTGGAATACATCCCGTGATACTTCCAGGTTAATGACATCTTTTCCTTTGCAGCGACGTGCAGGCGCAGAGTGAGAAGGATGTTGGCATGTTAGACGAGGTCTCCAGTATCGGCCCAAGTTGTACCGGTGGTTTGGGCATACTGTCATAGAGCGTATTTCTTCGCTTGATATTTCATGTAAAAATTCAGCTCTTCCCAAAATCAGCTCGCGCTCGCTAAAACCAGATCTCGACAAACAGCAACTTGAAAGATGGTTTTGAATGTTCTCATCACAATCTTCTAAGCGTCTAATACCCGATTCACCCCGACACCCTCCACATACAGTTGAACCGATAGCATTAAAAGAACACAGCTTATCCATACCAACTCTCAAATTTTGCAGCAATATAATTCAAAGATCAACTTCGCAGAAAGGTTCCAGAACTAAACTTTGCACATTTATATACTTTTCGAACTGAGCAATAGTTTAGTATGCTGCAACGCAAACTCTAAATCACACTAAATATAGCATGTGCCACATATAGAATTCGCGATGCATGCAGGCTTTTCCCCGAGTAACATTAATTTGGTCAAGTTGTTTATTTAACATGCCTATTATTTTAAATCCCTTGGAACCACTTACGGTGGACATATTACAAAGAAATATAGATTAGTACTATATTGCTATAAACTTATTTGAGGGAAAGGTTATTTGGCAGAACTACAGCCGTACAGCGCATTTTTGGCAGTGACACGAACTCAGACGTCTGACCTCAGCAACATTCTAATGTAAACAAAAGGCCATAAAGAGTATCAAATTTCGAACGCTCTCAATTGTTCAAATCGCGTTTGCAGACGAGTTTTATTACGGTTTTTAGTACTTCAAAGTGTCCTTTTTCCAACTATACTAGTCACTGTATGTAATTAGGTCCCACTTTTAAGAAATTTAGCGCAGAAAATAGTAGGATTTGAAAGCCGTATTTTGACATGGCGCTCTTTGTCGCTAAATATTGTCACAAATGCTCTGTAATTGAAAACCTAATTTAGTTTAGATGAAATTACGATAGTTTTCCGGTGCTGGGTGTGAATATCAGAAATTTTGAACAAAAACTTTTGAAATTATGTTTATTTAAATTCAGCCCATTTTTTCGTTTAATTAGCCGGCGAATTTCTCCCGCGACGGTGCGAGACCAAAAAATCGCTAAAACTTTGAAACTAAAAATATTTTCAAAATTCCAAACAGCATTTGTTTGTTGTTAAAGTAAATGTAGTTCACGGTAAAAGTTTCGAAGAAATTTATTTTTCGAGCCCCAAGTCAGTGGGCAGTTTTTAATAACACACGCTCTTAAATTGTTTTCCACGTCGCAAACTCTAAAAAAACTACTTCAAAGTGATCTTAGAAACTTAGAACACTGGTCATCTGTATCTGGTTTGACATTCAATGAAAAGAAATGCAAGCAGCAACGAATAACGAGAAAGATTACACCAGTAACGTCAACATATATGATTAATGTTTTGTAGTATTATTATACAAATGCATACGAATTATAGAATATATGGCCCAAACTATTGAGGTAACCACTTAACCTTAGGGTGAGCTGTTGCATGGTATATAAGCTGCAAGTTCCCCTAATGCGCGGTCGCGTTTAGAGAGTCACACACATATTTACAAGGTATTATCGAGCTTAAAGGCTGATTTCCACTGTTGCGTTTTTCATATTTACGTATACGCACATAAATTTTAAATCCGTTTAAATATTACTTATGAAATAACCAAATAAATAAAGCAACACAATTTAGTGTTCCACAAGTTTTAGTATGCATTTGTTTGTAAAATATTTAAAAATAGAAGGATTCATGTACACATGTAGGAAAAACGCAACAGTAGAAATCAGCCTTGAGCAACGTCAAAAGACTGGGTCAAGAATGTTGATTGGTTGATATATAACATCAAATTTGCTTCCGGTCAACGTTCGTGTTGTCAAAACCATTGCTTGCTTAAGCCATGTGCAAGAATGTTACAAGAATGTTAACTTCTGTCAACTGCTTTTACAAAAATACCTATATCTCAATCTTGCTAAACAATGCGAAGAGTTGGATTTACACGAGATATCTGTTCAAGAAAGAATCGATGCTGCCAGTAAGTATTATAAAATTTTGATATGTGACTTTTTATGTCAATACATTGAATATTCATGCTTGCTCTTTTGTACTGTACCAAGACCAAGTACTTATAGTAAAATTTAAGTCAGACTCAGCTGAGCCTATATATATATATATATATATATATATATATAGTTTTCTACAGACAATTAATCTTATGCCTTAGAAGAAGATATAGAAAGAGTAAGAGATGAGGATTAGTTGAGAATTCAGTTCATTGACGACGAGAATGTATCTCTCTTGAGAGAGGACCCATGTGACCGACCAAATCTTTTACTTCAAGAACCAGATGAGGAGGTTAGTGATATTTTATTGCATTTCTTTGCACTTTTTGAGTTTGTTGGGATATTATTTTTGTCTATGATTTCCAAGTTTGAATAGATATGCAGCCTATTTTGTGAATGATACGCAGTATGTACTGGGTTCACAACTCACAAAAAGAACAAATGCTGAATGAATGTTACAAATGCTTCAGTGAATGTTACAAATGCTGAATAAATGTTACAAATCTTTATGCAGCTGAACTGAGTAATAATTTGTTGTTTTAGCTGAATCCAGATGTTATTGGAGATAGTTCAGATTCAGAAAATGAAAATAGCCTTGCTCAAACTTCAAGTGCTCAGGAAAAAAGTAATCAAGATTGTGAGCAACGCCAGCCAGAGGAAGAGGGCATGGCAGTGGACAGAAACGGGGACGAGGACAAGGGAAAAGTGGGCAAGGAAAGGTAAGACAAAAAATAAATCAACAAAGAGAAAAAAGTGGGGGGGGGGAAGGATGGTGATCCTAATTGGAAAGATTGTGCTGGTGTTTATAACAATCCAAACATTGCAACACCATTTCATGAAGTACCAGGTCCTTGCAGATTGGCAACTGGTCAAAAGTCTCCACTGTGTCAAAATGCAAAACCATCACCAGCTCCTTGGACAGATGTGACAGTTGATGAAATCATGGCATTTATGGGAGTCATTATTGCAATGGGAACGACACATCTCCCTGAGGTATTCGATTATTGGAGAACAGAACATATTTTGTCCATGCCATGGTATTCTAGCATTTTTTCAAGAACCAGGTTTCTACTGATAAGTAGATACTTGCACATCTTGCAGATAATACAATTCAACCTGAAAGGGTACATCCCAGTTACAAGCTATTCAAGTTGGGTGGTATTCCTGAAATGCTATGTCAAAAATTCAAATCCTTGTATCTCCCAACAAGAAACCTCAGTATCGATGAGCAAATGATTGGAACCAAATGCCGGGTAAGCTTTATTCAATATATGCCAAAAAAACCCGAAGAAGTTTGGAATAAAAATATGGGCATTATGTGAATCTTTGACTGGCTATTGTTTACAATTTCAAATATACACTGACAAATCAGATACTGGTGCAGTTGAGCATGGACTTGCTTATAGAGTTGTCTTTGACTTACTAAAGGAATACCTTGATAAGGGATATTATGTCTATTTTGATAACTTTTATATGAGCTTGAAATTATTACAAGACCTGGCCCTTCACAAAACATTTGCTTGTGGTACTATACGTGTGGATCGAGGAGATTTTCCAGAACAATTCAAATATGCCAAGCTTGAGAAAGGGGATTCCAAATTTATAAAAAATGATGATATCTTAGCTGTTCTTTCGAAGGACAAACGAGATGTTTTTGCAATGTCATCAATGCACGGAAATGGCACAAAGTTGATAGAATGCAGAGGGGAGAACAACATAACAAAGCCGAGCATGATTCTTGAGTATAATAAATACATGAACAGGGTAGACAAGTGTGATCAGTACCTAACCTACTATTCACTCGGGAGGAAAGCCAGGAAATGGTGGAAAAAGGTGTTTTTTAGATTATGTGAATTGTGCATAATCAATGCTATGGTGCTGCACTTTGCTGCTTATCCGAATTTTGCCAAACAGCGTCAGGCACACAAGTTATTTCGAGTTCAACTTGCCCATGAGCTTGTGCAACCCTTGCTGGATGCAAAGGCTGCAGTTGGAAATAATGTTCACTCTCCAGTGCCTGGGAGAAGGTCAATTGAGGATGATGTATGCCTACAGGGAAAGCATTTTGCCGAGAGTTGTCATCCAGAGCGTGGAAGATGTGCATCTTGTGGGTATAAGAAAGGCAAAGATAACAAATATAAAGACACAAAAACTTCAAACTATTGTACAAAACGTGATAAGTTTAACACAAAAAGTTATGTATAAGGGGGTTTTATTATGCACCGATGTGAAAGTATCATATTTTGGGCAGAAGTTGATATCAAATTCCTCAGCCAAAATTGGCAGCTTGTTACCTTAGATATACAACTAACCTGTTTTAGTTATGACACTAATATCAGAACATCCTAATTTTATTGTATCCTCATGGATATTGTGCATTGTTTTAGAATTATAGGGGGGAAAATTTAAAATACTAGACTTTTAGTATACATTTTGTAATGTTTGTCAATGATCACATGACTTGTGACGTCATAATTTGTTGATTAGCATCATATTATATACATATTATGAAAGACCATGCTTTCCTCATTCTAAATATATATATAGTTTTGGGTACCTACCTACAGTAGAACCTTGATTATAAACAACTGAATGTGATTTGCTGAAAATTTCAAAAATTGCAACTATTTATCTTGGTAGCTAAAGAGAAGTTCATGGATTTAAACTTTTACACACTGCAGTGCATGCATGTAAAATGAAATAATTATTTTCATAATTTTAATTTAGATGATGATTTAAATGCATCTACCTTGCCAAGACCTAAAACGGAAGTTATGAAGAAATCCATAACTTATAAGGGATCTGGGCTGTGGAACAATCTTAGTAATGAATCAAGGAAATTAGAATCCTTGGACACTTTTAAACATACTGTTGCCAAACTAGAATCCTTAAGTGCTACAATGTTTGACTAATTATTGATATCTAGAAACACTGCAAGGTTCTTAAAACTGAAGTGTAAATAATAACATTAACTTACTGTATTCATATATTTGTCTAATGTAAGTGTAATTTTTAATTATTAGGATATAGTTACACGACCCCATCAGCTTATGCTGTAAATATCTATCGTGTTAAAATAAATGCTATTATTATTATTATTATCGAACGACGAGAGGAAGTTGATGGAGAAGTTTCTGAAATTGAGCAACACCTGCAGAATATTTCACAGGAATATGCGAAACTAAAAACTTTAATGGACCAGAAAGGGTATGCTCATACACACAGACAAAATACCAAAACTACCATCGATATGATCAGTGACCGTCGTTCCAGTATCCGCTACAGACAACGACAAGAGACCAAGAATGTACTTGAATACATCCATGGTGGTGAGGTTGCAGCAGTACTTGGAGCTTGGGGTTTTGTAACAGCCCATGCAGACAAAGAAGAACTTATGAACGGCTTGACTAGTAAGTATTAAAGAGGAAAATACTTACAAGGGGTAATCAACAAAGCCATGAACAATCATAAGCAGTCCAAGGATTCCCTAATCAAGCACTTGCTTTTAAGTACCAAAATCTTTTGTCTGAACGTAAATTTAATTTAATGTGTAAAACACAGTCTTCTGTGTTTGATCCTGAAGTATGGTTACCACGAAATATGAAGTGCTTAGGGGTAGATGTTGAGTTGACGCTTAGTCGAGTGTCTGATGACAAAATTGATAAAATCAATAGATATAGGTATTAGTCAAATTCCAAATGCACCTGAGTTCACTAGGACCATCACTTGCCTTGTATTCATGATTATTGATTTGCATTTACGATTGCCACATCTTTTTCGGCAACTCATTTGGTTCAATGAAAATACCAATCATTTCATTTTCCAGTTTTCTGATGATGGTGCCCCTGAAACAAGCCAGCTCACAACGTCAATAGGTAGTATAACATTGTGGAATTTTGGGGAAAGGGTTAGAAGTGGGGAATTTCAGTACCTGCTTCATTGTGTCAGCCTTGGCAAAAAGCATGCAATGCTTGAGGTTCCTTGGAGACAACATACTGATGTGATGCAGCTACTTGAGTCCAGTGTTTTCACAGTTTGTGGGAAGGAGTGCACAGTTGAGTTTCAGCCAAGTGCTGACATGAGCTGGCAAAGTTGGGCCTGCAATGAACTGAACCAGGCAGCTACACACCCTTGTCCCTATGCAAATGTGCACAAAAATAATATGTGTATTCTTGGTGGCACAATTGGTCTCGGTCACAATGATACTTGGACACCGTACACAAACGACCTGCGTGCTGAGCATGCAAAGAAGGTAAATGTTTTTATTAGTTCTCTAGCTACTAATATTAAAAGCAGTACTCGTCATGAGAAAATGCTTGCTTTTATGACTGAAAATGGGATGCGCCAACTTGGGACACCTAAAATTGGGGTGTTTGCAGAAAGAGTTCGACCAGATCCACTGCATTGTGAAATTAATGCATGGCAGCATTTATTAGATTTAATTTACTGCGAATGTGTGAAGCGTAACATTTTCCAGCAGTTCATTAAAATATTATCAGCTCCTGTTGGTCTTGAACATAGTAATCATTTGGAAACTTTGGATCAGATTACAAACCCAGCTGATTTAAATGACTCTATGTCAGAAGACACATTAACTTTGTCTGAGATTGCTATACCAGAGCATATAAACCTTTTAGAGGAACAAGCTACAGCCAATTTATCTGCGGCACTTAAAAGTAAGGCTGCCACACTAGATTCATCAGCAGACAAAGTGTATGGATGCGGTCTGGCATACTTAGCATCTAAAATTAAGGAGCATTACAGTGTCGAAGCTAAAAGGTCAAACAAATTGCCAACTCGTTTGATAGGTAGTCAAGCTGTGAGTCTTTCTAGGCATGGCTACAGACTTGTTGATGCCTTGCAATATGATGAAGAAAGCCCTTTAGAGAATACCAAACGATTGGCACTTTCAAAAGCAGTGGAATATTTATGCCAGCAGATTGTTTAACAAAATTAATTTAAGTTCCATTGGAGAAGTTGATCAACTGACCGAATTTTGTCAGCTTTATTTTAATATTCTTGTTCTTTTTTTCCCCACAAGTATTAAAGTTACTGTCTGGACAGTGGGGTATGCCATACCTTATCATGCCAGAAAATTGTATGAAGAATACCATGTTGGTTATGGTATTTTGTCACTTCAAGCGAAGGAATCAAAACATGCTGGCATTAAAGGTGATCTTTCTTTAACCTTTCTTGAGCGCAAAACTTGCCACCACTTGCCATTAGCGCTACTTTTGTAGCACTAATGGCAAGTGGTGGCAAGTTTTGCGCTCAAATCATGTTAGGTCATTCTATCTTCCTGAACACCAACCTGCACCTTCATCATATATTTCTCATTTTAAGTCGCGTACACCACCACACTGCAGCAGGGTCGATTATTGTGCTTGTGGAAGAACTAAATTAGATATTGTGGACGAGAAGTGTGGGGTTTGTAAAGCTGCTAAAACTATTGTAATTAAATGTGCTAAAGAGAAGAAGTTATCTGATGAAGTTATTTTCTTATTTAAGCCTATCATTTGCAGCAAATGCAATGAACGCTTTTCTGATGTGACCAATTTGAAAGCACACAATGATATTGTCCATCGTTCTCAGACTCTTGCTACTGAGAGCAGTAGACCTCACTCACTTATAAAGACTCGATTAAAAAGTATGAGTGTTACAGAGTTGAAGGCGGCCCTGAGGGAAAAAGGCCTATCCACCTCTGGTAACAAGGAAATTTTAGTTCGAAGGCTGGAAAGTGTACTGCCAAATGCGAAGTAAAACTGTGAAATGGGCCACTGGGCCATATCAGTTTAATGAACAATGCCTTCAGTGGTGGGATGTGCCAGTACTCAGTAGAGTCAAAATATATTGCTGGCTATAGTAGCTAGGTGATTTAACTACCTGAAGGACCTAAATCTGAGTTGAGTTTTGTGTGTTTTGGTGCTAGGTACTCTGGTGAATATAATGTTTTTGATGTTACTCTGAGTGTATATCCACACCGGACAGGCTGAAAAGTTAGCCTGACCATGGTGGAAATCGAAAACGCGACCTTTGGGATACTCTGCCAACTGAGCTACGGGCCAAGTCTGTTTGAGTGCGTGGTTTTCGAAACTAAGTCTAGCATCTTCAATACCAATGTGTACGTTCTATGATATGATATTTTGTGTGTTTTAGTGCCAGGTATCAGGTGAATATAATGTTTTTGATGTTACTCTGAGTGTATATCCACACCGGACAGGCTGAAAACTTAGCCTGACCACGGTGGGAATCGAACCTGCGACCTTTGGGATACTAGTCCAATGCTCTGCCAACTGAGCTACGAGGCAAAGGTTATACAACTACCTGAAAATAGGAAAATAATATCTTTGCTTTTTGAGCGATGCCCTTTGAGAATCCATAAATGCCAGGTCATTTCTTTCTGGAAAGTGTAACCCTTAAACCTTATTACTCAAGTCTGCAGTATCGGCCTTGACATATTAGGTTGGTGGCTATTTTAGGAAGGGTTTCTATCATCAGAAAACTGGTTATACTGTTTTGGCAATTCCATTTTTTTAGATTGGTATTCGAGTTGTTCCGAATAATTTTTAAACCAAATTAAAACTTTTTATGTAACACATTGAGATCAGTTCAATTTCACCATGATAAAATGGCAGTGTTTATTTTACCACAATGTTATTTCTTATCAAAATGTTTACTTTTAACAATAAAATCAATTGATTCAAGTGAGTCAATTCCTGAATGGATTATGGTAAAATCAACATAATTTATCTCTGTGTGTGTTCCTGGGCAGAATCTGAGAAAATACTGGGTACAAGGTTGACCTGCTTATCATTCTACTGTGGCTTTTATTCATGCAAATTAAAAATCAAATATATAGAAATCTAGTTGATGCCTTTTTGCAACTCAATTTTTCTAAATCAACTCTTGTATATAAGCAGCTTTTGTAAAAAAGATGGTATATACAAACTGTGCAAGAGGTCTTTCTCAGATTTAAAACACAAAAGTTTTTGCTCTGATAGTGACTGACAGGGCCGCCAAGTTTGTACTTCAAAAATGACACATATTTTGTGTAGTAAGGAGAAAATTTGAGGATGTCTCCTTAGTTGCAAGTCCCATGAGTCTGTACTTTGCTTATGAATTATTATATTTGCTCTGTATATAATTTTGACAGTTAAAGCATTAAAGGTGCATGCGCTTATATTCGGATACAAGCGCATGCGCCTTTATCTGCAGTTCGCATATATACAGGGGAATAGGGTATTTAGTTCTATATTGTAAATATTCGCTGTAAATATTATATTTATAATGATTAATATTCATGTTAAGATATTAATACAGATATATATATATATATATCTATATATAATGTATATATATTATTATGTAGAATAGTTTCTGTGCTCACATATATTAAGAATATATTTTGTTCTAATATATTGTCTAAAATAGTTTTCTATATTGTTTCTATACTGAATTTTTTAATAATAGAATGACAAATTATTTATTATAATATTAAATTTTCAATACTTTATGCTAGAATTATGTTCCAAATTATATATTCAAAATTTATAAAAACAAAATGTTTATATCTTGCATTTTTGTGGCAAGTGAGAATGAGTTGACCCACAAAGATCAATACACACACATATTTGGTGGAATTTGTGCTATCCATGGAAGTATGTTTTTGATAACAGTTGCATGAATCTACTACGGCATCCAAAAAGTAAATTTCATGTGTGCGGAGTCAATCTTTTCAGAATATACCCTGTTATTCTATTCTAATGTTTTCTATACAACCAATTAATCCCAACTGCATCTTAACCCATTGAGTGGCAGGACTCTCCACTTGACGAGTAAAATTGTCTGGCGTTAGACAGAGTAAATGACTTAATTAAAGGGTTAATTTGTTATTTAACCCATTGAGTGGCAGCACTCTCCACTTGACAAGTAAAATTGTCTGGCGTTAGACAGAGTAAAGTACTTAAAGGGTTAATTTGTTATTTAATCTGTCTAACACCAAATGATTCTAGCTGGTTTCATTTGGCAGATCTTGAAATACTGGTTTGAAATACTGGTCTTGCGGCACAATTGCTTCTTTGCAATTTATCGATCAATGCTATCTTGGTTGATTTTTCAAATACAGATGAAAACCATAAACAATGTACACTCTTCATTGTTTTAATTTTATATTTGGCCAGAAACTGTAATTTATGCATTCATAAGCTGTTTCCAAAGCAAGTGCAAACCAGAAAATACTATATTTCACTATAAACATTAAAATCAACCAAGATGGCAACCCAATGAGCATGTGACGCCTCATGCAAACAAACAATATTTTTGTACCATATATATTATTGGATATCTTATTTAATCATGTAATGGCAATGGCGACTGGTGGTATTAAAATATTGTAGATAAAGGCCTTTGTACACAAATTGTTTGTGTGTAAGAAATTTCAAGACTAAATAGTCTAAACAAAACACTGTAACAAATCAAAGAAAATGGAAGGAATAAAAATTTAACTTGAAGCAGGAATAATTACTGACCACATTAATTCATAGGGCTATTATGTGCATTTTAATTGGCTCTCTTGGTCTAAAGTTTAGATGAAAACCTGTGCTCAATAAAATGCACATAAAAGATTATTTATATTGTGACTATTTATATGAGACTGCTACTACCTCTATGCACCTACCAATTTTAAACTCCAGAGGTGTTGCTACAGTATGTAAATTGCCTTCTAAAGAATGAGCTAAAAATGGTTATTTATATATAAATTCCACAACTGTGTTTAAAATTAGTAGGTGCATGTAAGTTATCAGATCTATTCTACATGATTACTGTTTAATAATGCTTGAAGTGTAGCGTCCAAAGAGAAATCGTCCTTGTCGTACCTTTGCACGTAAAATAGAATGGTCAGCTTCTCCTGCTTCGTATTATAATCAAAAATAATTGGAGTCGTGCTGGTCACAACAACAGCAGCTCTTCCAGAATATTTGTAGATATTCCTTCCATTTTCCCTGACCTTGTCAAAGTGTCTTTTTCTTAATAGATTGTCGCCTTTACATCTCACGGGAGAAAATACCTTCCCAGCATTATCGCTATTGGTAATCTCAACCAGCATTCGATTTTTGTTTATGGACAACGAGCCGCCGTACCCAACAACAATATTGCAAACATGCCGAAAAATAGAATACGGCACAAACAGCTTTATTGGCGGCATGAGACCAGTATTTCTGGATCTTCCAAGCTTGGCGAACATCCCTTTCCCAATCTCGGTTAAGTAGCCATCAATAAGGGGCCCAACCATTTCTAATTTGTAGGATGCACGCTCTTCTAATATAGGATCGAGATTCCGCATCCCCAAGTTTGGCTTGTTCTGGCATTTCCACACAGCGTCCAGCCACATCCGTTCAACCCCGAACTTCAACTCAACTGTCGAGGCATTCCAAAAGCGCTCAGATCTTTCGGTTTCCTCGCCAGAAGAGCCAAGTTTCAGGTTGGAAAAACACTGCGTGGAAAAACACTGCGTGAAATCACTGCTAGCTGCCGCCATGTTGCTTTTGAATTAATATTTTGGAATTTGGAGGGAAATGGCAATAACCGCTGCGCCAATCGCGCCCGCGCTTCCGGGAGCAAACTGCATAGCAACCAACCATCGTGAAAGTAACTTGCTCATTCCTCTTTGACCTTTAGTAATATATGAAAGCATATAAACAGCACAAGGATCTAATACGTACTGAATATCCATGTTAGCTTTCCAAGCTCTGAGTAAGTTTGGATTGTAACAGTTGATCCTAATCTCAGCTGGCGATCATTTCAATAACAAAGTGTTATGTTTAAGAGAGAGCCGTATAGCCTTTAGATATCAGTGTTCCGATAAATCTAACTTTTCGAGAAATTCATCAAAGGTCATGGTTTCATCAGCTTTAATAGAATCTAATAATGAACGTGTGAGAGAAATACCCAGAAGACAGCTGATTTTATGTGGATATCGTGCATTGGCTCTTCTTAATGTAAGGAACTCAACTGCTTCAATGATTTTCCTCTCTTGTTTGGTCTTTTGTGTTTTTTCCATTGTGCTGGAAAGCAGTTTATAAATATGTTGAAGGCTGTTGGTATTTCTCTGCATTTTGACACAATGTGAGTACTTTGGAAATGTTTAATTAAACTGGTTGAATTATGTAAATTATAGGTGTGAGAGATTGACTTTCAATGTCTTAAGATTCATGGTTACAATTACCAAGCCAAACAAAATACGAATTTGTCTAGATCCCGAGACTTACATTTGGTAATCAAACGAAAACATTATCCAATGCCCACAATAGAAGTCGCGTCTAGATTACCTGTATTTTCAACCCTCGATGCAACATCTGGCTTTTGGCAAATTCCCATCGACAAAGAATCATCCAAGCTACTCACATTCAATTCCTCATATGGTCGTTTTCATTTGAAGTGTTTACCATTTGGAATATCATCCGCATCCGAAGTATTTCAGAAAACAATGAATGATCTATTTGGAGATATTAAAGGGTGCGAAATTATCATAGACAATATTCTTGTGTGGGGTCAGGATCAAACAGAGCATGATGAACAGTTATTAGAGGTATTGGAATGAACTAGGAAGGTTGGTTTTATGCCTCAAGAAGGAAAAGTGCAAGTTCAAAGTGACTGAACTCAAATACATTGGTCACATATTGACCCGTGATGGGTTGAAACCTGATCATGATAAGGTATCAGCCATCAAAGAAATTGAATGAATGATTTATTACCATTTCCAAATGGCAGGTACATGGCATGGCCAGTGACATGAAAAACTTGAAATTACAAATTGGTAAAAGTAGCCACACTATTTACAAGTTGAAAGGTTATAAAAGTTAACGATTTATATATATATATATATATATATATATAAACGTACCGACTTGAAGATTAGATTAAGCATATTAGTTTGAGTGGGTCATCTCAATTGAATCCCATTTTTTACACCATATGGGATTGTTTTTAAAACCTTCTGTTCTACATTTAAAAAAGTGGATACTTTCGAGGATTCCTAAGATGATTTTTATCGGGTACTCATACAGCAGTATTTCAATGTTGTTATTGACAATGGTAGCTGGTGAATTACTTGTAAATGTCAGCTGATTTGCTTCAGATACTTGCTCTCAATACAGTATGTCTTGAAAATAATCCGCACTTGTAGGTCTAGGATTTATAAGCACAGTGCTAATCTGTAGATTCTAGAATTATCGCCTTGATAAACCGCTACACTAATCTAAACTGTACCATAATCTGGGATTATGGTACACATTTAGTATGAAAATGTAAACTATCAACATTTTAGTGAGTGCACTTCCAGTATGTACTATAATAACTTAAATGAATATTCTTGAAAACTGATTGTATTTTCTTAAAATTGCTGTAAGTGTGGCCTTCGTGGCGACTATGCAGTGGCAGGCGCCGGTCGCGTATATACTTTACCAAAACTATTACTATTATAATAGTCATGAAATAGGATGAAAAATACTAGATACGATCATTTTATATTTTCAAATATAGGCATAGTATGCTGATTGTGAGGTGAACGAGGGCATGCTAGGATCAAGTGCCCCCAAAAGCACAGTGTCAGAGAGGGATGAAAAGGCAGAGCAGTTGTTTTTAACAATTGCAGATTTGATAAATTAGCAATGTAATTTACTGTTACTCTATTGAAGCTGCATTATGTATTTAAATTGTGATATTAGGGCTGTTTATATGGAAAAAGCTAGCCCAGCCATCTCACCAGCTTGATTACTTTCTTCCCTGTTCAAGACTTTCTCAAAAAAGTTGATAAAAATATTCGGTTGAGACTAAGTGTGAACTGGTCTTTCAGTTAATCAAAATTTTCCTTTGTGGCAAATAACATATTTTCTTGAAATAAATTAGCATGGATAGCCCAGGGCCGGATTAACCACGTGGCAGATGCGGCAGATGCCGCGGGCCTCGTGGTTATGGGGGCCTTGCACTTTACTGGGCCACCCCCATTTTTACGAGAACATGCCCATTTTCAATTGGGACACAACCATTTTAGGTGCCTCGCAAATTTAGATGCCTCGCAAAATTTAGATGCCTCGCAAATTTAGATGCCTCGCAAATTTAGGGCCTTGCGCATTTAGGCCCCTAGGGTTGGCAGTTGGCCCCAGGAAAATATACAATACATGTATGCATGTAATCTCCAGTTGTGCTGAGCTATTATATAATCCTGTTTATACTTGTTGACCCAACAACTGGGCCAGGCAGTCCATTGTCTTGTTTATAATTGATGTCAATCAATGGAAATATTAAATAGAGGGCGCTATATTAAGTGTAGCACTGTTCGTCGACAACAGCTTCTGTTCAGAAATCCTGGTGGGGATAGCTTGGCTGCTAAATTGCAGTTATATCCGGATAAAATTGAAAACAATTATTTAATAATTTTGTGTCTTCGAATTCAAAGATTTTCATAACGGGGGGGGGGGGAGGTTGTGGTCTTGTGCCGAAAATTTGCAGCGGTCCTCGCACGACGTTAATCTGGCCATGGGATAGCCCCCTTCATACAAACAGTCCCCTTAGTTTGTGTTGTTATTACTTTATACATTACATGAAGCTACAGTATCATGATTATACCCCTGTTCTATATAATCACTCTATAAATATACTTTATTCGTTCATTATAAAATAAAAAGTATAAATGTGTAAGAAGTACAGTACCTTGTGGCTTGTCTTTACAACCCTATATACCAATAATAGCTATACATGTATGAAATTCGACCCTCTGTTTCTTGACAATAAAGAGTTTGTGATACAAGTTCAAGTCAGTATAATAATGTTATAAGGCAATTTTATGCTGTCTTAACTGCCATAACCGCTTAGTGCTATTTTCCATCCAGCATACTGACCTGGCATCATTTTCGGAAGATGGAAGAGGTGTCAAATGGCTATGTAACTAACCCAAACCCTACTCCAACCCCTAATCGCAACTCTAACCCTAACTGAATCCATAAAAAAGTCCAAAAAGAAACGACTTTAGAAAATCGATAGTGCAGTTTGCTGGATGGAAAATAGTGCATAACCCTGTTTGTTGCAAATAATGTTGCCTATATGACCCCAATTGTCACGTATATACATAACTTCTTTTGTTTCTATTTTTCTAACTTAGAAACTCAAGCAAGGAGAAGAGGTAATGGTATATTTTGTTAAATAACTAAAAATATCTGTATATATAAAAAAATAAAAAATATTTATTTATTTATTTTTTATTTATAATTATATTTATCCAGGATACCCACATCACTAATGTGTTTTTCAGTGGGGTCCTGCATGATACAATCATTAACAAAATTTACTTATATAAATATATACAATTAATATACAACGTCACGACATATAGAAACGAATAATTAACTATATCTAATAAGTACAGCTAAGAATAGTTATATGGTATGTGACCTTAGTAAAGACTTAAATTGACTCAAAGAATCAGTGTTTCTGACAGAAACGTCCAAGTTGTTAAAGTCTTTCGAAGCGGAGGTAGGTTGGTTTATGTTTGCCCCAGTTCGTGTTGACTTTCGGGAGATGGAGGTTGTTACACGATCTTGTACTGTGGGAATGGTTCTGCTGTTAGTTGTGAGATTGAAGTCGAAATCTATCAGTCCATTAGTGCATTTGTAGATAAAGATACAACAATGTTTATATCTGCGAGATGAGAGAGTTGACCAGTGTAATGTAGCGAGAGCTTCGGTTGCCGACGAAAGAGGAGGGAGATCTAGTATTAATTTAGCTGCTTTATTTTCCAAACTTTGCAAGGAGTTCATGAGTTCTGAATTGTTTTTATCGCCCAAATTACATCGGCATAGTCAAATAGCGGTAGTATTGTCGAAGTATAGAAAATCTGTCTTGCATCCAGCGGTAAGAAAGATTTCACACGGCGCAGCAATCCCAATCTTTGGTTGATTTTCCCCATTAATTTCTCAATATGTTCATGCCAGGTAAGGTTCTCGGTAATTGTGATGCCCAGATATTTCAACGATTGTTCTTGTTTTATCCTCCGATTGCAAATAGAGATGTTGATGTTGGAGATGGATCTTAGGCGTTGTCTACCGGCAAAAATGATGAACTTTGTCTTGTCATGATTGAGTGTAAGGAGGTTGTTGTTAAGATAACCGGAAAGGGATCGTAGGTCGGAGTTGAGTTTTGACTGTAGATCGGAAATACTTTCTGCAGAGTAATAAAGGAGTGTGTCATCGGCATAAAGTATCGACTTGCAGTGGGTCAAGCATTCAGGTAGATCATTAATATAAATAAGGAAGAGAAGTGGTCCAAGAATACTTCCCTGAGGGACTCCGACAGTTACTGGCTTGGGTTGCGACATTGAACTGTTGATCACGGTTACTTGGGTACGGTTTGATAGATACGAGCAGAACCAGTCGAGAGCAGAACCAGTCGAGAACAGACAAGGTAAAACCGATTGTTCTCAATTTCTCCAATAAGATGGTATGGTCTACGGTATCAAAAGCTTTCCTTAGGTCGATAGAGACGGCACCAGTGATTTTTCTGTGATCGAGATTATCCAGTATCTGCTCAGTAAAATGTGCCAGAGCAATGGTGGTTGACAGTTTGGAGCGAAAACCGAATTGTTGGGAAGCTAGTAACTTGTGTTCTTGCAGGTAATTGTAAACTTGATGGTGGACGATTCGTTCTAGTAACTTACTCAAGGTTGGTAGGATGGTGATTGGTCGGTAGTTGTTGGATGAAGTTGGGTCTCCAGATTTGAAAATTGGAGTAACTTTACCTTTCTTCCAGATGTCGGGAAATGAGCCACAGCGTAAGGAGAGGTTGAAAATTTTGGTTAAATATGGTGCGATTATATAGGTGGAATCTCTAAGCAGTTTAGCACTAATTCCGTCCAGACCAGTGGCTTTGGTAGTTCTTAATTTACTCAGTTCCTGCAACACAGACGCTGCTTCATCAACTTCTTTGAAATTAAAGGAATGGGGTGATGTAGCGGTTGTCTTAGTCGGTTTAGGTTTGATTAGATCTTTAATTTTGTTCGCAAGTGTGGATCCTATAGATGAGAAATAGTCGTTCATGATTGTTGCGATGGAACGTGGGTCGTTTACCGGGGCGTTTTCACTGATAATACAGGAGGGAGTGGTTTTAGTTGGATTGCGAGAAGTGACTTCATTAATTGTTTTCCAAAGTTCAGCAGATTTATCTCTGTTGTCATTGATCAGAATATATATCATTGATCAGAAATATCTGGAATTACGGTACATGTCTAGTATGAAAATGTAAACTATCAACATTTTAGTGACTGCACTTCCAGTATGTATTGTAACCTAAATGAATATTCTTGAAAACGGATTGTATTTTCTTTAAATTTGCAACGTTGCTGTAATGTGGCCTTCGTGGCCACTATGCTGTGGCATGCCGGTCACGTATATACTTTACCAAAACTATTACGATTACAATAGTCATGAAATAGGATGAAAAATACAACATACTATCATTTTATATTTTCAAATATAGGCATAGTATGCGGGTTGTGTGGTGAACGGGGGTACGCTAGGATCAAGTGCCCCCAAAAGCAAAGTCTGAAAGAGAGATGAAAAGGCAGAGCAGTTGTTTTTAAGAATTGCAGATTTGATAAATTAGCAATGTCATTTACTGTTACTCTATTGAAGCTGCATTATGTATTTAAATTGTGATAATAGGGCTGTTTATATGGAAAAAGCTAGCCCAGTCATCTCACCAGGTTGATTACTTTCTTCCCTGTCTTGCCTTCAAGACTTTCTCAAAAAAGTTGATCAAAATATTCGGTTCAGACTAAGTGTGAACTGGTCTTTCAGTTAATCAAAATTTTCCTTTGTGGCAAAGAACATGTTTTCTTGACATAAATTAGCACAAATAGCCCCCTTCATACAAACAGTCCCCTTTGTTTGTGTTATTATTACTTTATACATGAAGCTACAGTATCATGATTATACCCATGTTCTATATAATCATTCTATAAATATACTTTATTCATTCATTATAAAATAAAAAGTATAAATGTGTAAAAAGTACAGTACCTTGTGGCTTGTCTTCACAACCCTATATACCAATAATAGCTATACATGTATGAAATTCGACCCTCTGTTTCTTGACAATAAAGAGTTTGTGATACAAGTTCAAGTCAGTACAATAATGTTATAAGGCAATTTTATGCTGTCTTAACTGCCATAACCGCTTAGTGCTATTTTCCATCCAGCATACTGACCTGGCATCATTTTCGGAAGATGGAAGAGGTGTCAAATGGCTATGTAACTAACCGAAACCGTACTCCAACCCCTAATCGCAACTCTAACCCTAACTGAATTAATAAAAAAGTCCAAAAAGAAACGACTTTAGAAAATCGATAGCGCAGTTTGCTGGATGGAAAATAGTGGATAACCCTGTTTGTTGCAAATACTGTTACTTGCAACTAGGGGTCAACAGTTGAATATCTGACCCCAATTGTCTATATGACCCCAATTGTCACATATATACATAACTTATTTTGTTTCTATTTTTCTAACTTAGAAACTCGAGCAAAGGAGAAGAGGTAATGGTATATTTTGTTAAATGACTAAAAATATCTGTATATATAAAACAAATAACTAAAAATATCTGGAATTATGGTACATGTCTAGTACGAAAATGTAATCTATCAACATTTTAGTGACTGCACTTCCAGTATGTACTGTAACCTAAATGAATATTCTTGAAAACCGATTGTATTTTCTTTAAATTTGCAACGTTGCTGTAAGTGTGGCCTTCGTGGCCACTATGCTGTGGCATGCCGGTCACATATATACTCAAACATTCCAACCGTCCCGGTTTTCCCGGGACTGTCCCGGTTTGGACTATGTTGTCCCGGTTGTCTTCTTATTGTCCCGGTTTCTGTAAGTATTTTAATAGTTAAGGCTCATGTGACAAATATTAATTAAAGAAATTCGTTTGGTTCAATACATATCAATGAAATGTGAGCTTCTAGTTGCCCCAAACAATTGCCGAGTTTGTCGCCGATTGTTGTAATTCTCGTGACATACGTTGTTTTGACAATTTAGCATTCGCTTTCAATTCCTATTCATTTTGCCAGGGCTACATGAAGTAAAGCAGCGTAACAGAAGTGGGCACAATAATCGCAGGCTCTTGAATACTAGAGGATCACAGTTCAAAAGACCAGTAGTAAAATGAAAATGTTATATTACTTATGGATTTCAACGTTAGTGTAATAAAACTAGTTTTGTAGCATCCACTGTGAATTTATTGTTTAATTCAAACTTAACTCAGCCAATTTTAACACTAACCCAAAATATAGACACCACATCAAATCATCAATGAGAAAAGCACAGCATTTATTCGAGGGAGGCGTTTATTTAAGTAAAATGGGAAAATTGGGAAGTGTCCCGGTTTTGAGGACTCGGAGGTTGGAATGTCTGTATACTTTACCAAAACTATAACGATTACAATAGTCATGAAATAGGATGAAAAATACAACATACTATAATTTTATATTTTAAAATATAGGCACAGTATGCTGGTTGTGTGGTGAACGGGGGCACGCTAGGATCAAGTGCCCCCAAAAGCACAGTGTCAGAGAGGGATGAAAAGGCAGAGCAGTTGTTTTTAACAATTGCAGATTTGATAAATTAGCAATGTAATTTACTGTTACTCTATTGAAGCTGCATTATGTATTTAAATTGCGATATTAGGGCTGTTTATATGGAAAAAGCTAGCCCAGCTATCTCACCAGGATAATTACTTTCTTCCCTGTCTTGCCTTCAAGACTTTCTCGAAAAAGTTGATAAAAATATGCAGTTCAGACTAAGTGTGAACTGGTCTTTCAGTTAATCAAAATTTTCCTTTGTGGCAAAGAACATATTTTCTTGACATATATTAGGACGGATAGCCCCCTTCATACAAACAGTCCCCTTTGTTTGTGTTGTTATTACATTTAATACATTATACACGAAGCTACAGTATCATGATTATACCCATGGTCTATATAATCGCTCTAGAAGTATACTTTATTCGTTCATTATAAAGTAAAAAGTATAAATGTCTAAAAAGTACAGTACCTTGTGGGGCTTGTCATCACAACCCTATATACCAATAATAGCTATACATATATGAAATTCGACCCTCTTTTTCTTTACAATAAAGAGTTTGTGATACAAGTTCAAGTCAGTATAATAATGTCATATGGCAATTTTCAAATGGCTATGTAACTAACCCAAACCCTACTCCAACCCCTAATCGCAACTCTAACCCTAACTGAATTAATAAAAAAAGTCCAAAAAGAAACGACTTTAGAAAATCGATAGCGCAGTTTGCTGGATGGAAAATAGTGCATAACCCTGTTTGTTGCAAATACTGTTACTTGCAAGTAAGGGTGAACAGTTGAATAACTAACAGTTGAATAACTGACCCCAATTGTCTATATGACCCCAATTGTCACATATATACATAACTTATTTTGTTTCTATTTTTCTAACTTAGAAACTCGAGCAAGGAGAAGAGGTAATGGTATATTTTGTTAAATGACTAAAAATATCTGTATATATAAAAAAATAACTAAAAATATCTGGAATTATGGTACAGGTCTAGTATGAAAATGTAGTCTATCAACATTTTAGTGACTGCACTTCCAGTATGTACTGTAACCTAAATGAATATTCTTGAAAGCCGATTGTATTTTCTTTAAATTCGCAACATTGCTGTAAGTGTGGCGTTCATGGTCACTATGCTGTGGCATGCCGGTCACATATATATACTTTACCAAAACTATAACGATTACAATAGTCATGAAATAGGATGAAAAATACTACATACTATCATTTTATATTTTAAAATATAGGCATAGTATGCTGGTTGTGTGGTGAACGGGGGCACACTAGGATCAAGTGCCCTCAAAAGTACAGTGTCAGAGAGGGATGAAAAGGCAGAGCAGTTGTTTTTAACAATTGCAGATTTGATAAATTAGCAATGTAATTTACTGTTACTCTATTGAATCTGCATTATGTATTTAAATTGTGATATTAGGGCTGTTTATATGGAAAAAGCTAGCCCACCATCTCACCAGGTTGATTACTTTCTTCCCTGTCTTGCCTTCAAGACTTTCTGAAAAAAGTTGATAAAATATTCGGTTCAGACTAAGTGTGAACTGGTCTTTCAGTTAATCAAAATTTTCCTTTGTGGCAAAGAACATATTTTCTTGTACCTTATACATGCAGCTACAGTATCATGATTATACCCATGTTCTATATAATCACTATATAAATATACTTTATTCGTTCATTATAAAATAAAAAGTATAAATGTGTAAAAAGTACAGTCCTTGTGGCTTGTCTTCACAACCCTATATACCAATAATAGCTATACATGTATGAAATTCGACCCTCTGTTTCTTTACAATAAAGAGTTTGTGATACAAGTTCAAGTCAGTATAATAATGTCATAAGGCAATTTTCAAATGGCTATGTAACTAACCCAAACCCTACTCCAACCCCTAATCGCAACTCTAACCCTAACTGAATTAATAAAAAAAATCCAAAAAGAAATTACTTTAGAAAATCGATAGCGCAGTTTGCTGGATGGAAAATAGTGTATAACCCTGTTTGTTGCAAATACTGTTACTTGCAAGTAAGGGTGAACAGTTGAATAACTAACAGTTGAATAACTGACCCCAATTGTCACATATATACATAACTTATTTTGTTTCTATTTTTCTAACTTAGAAACTCGAGCAAAGGAGAAGAGGTAATGGTATATTTTGTTAAATGACTAAAAATATCTGTATATATAAAACAAATAACTAAAAATATCTGGAATTATGGTACATGTCTAGTACGAAAATGTAATCTATCAACATTTTAGTGACTGCACTTCCAGTATGTACTGTAACCTAAATGAATATTCTTGAAAACCGATTGTATTTTCTTTAAATTTGCAACGTTGCTGTAAGTGTGGCCTTCGTGGCCACTATGCTGTGGCATGCCGGTCACATATATACTCAAACATTCCAACCGTCCCGGTTTTCCCGGGACTGTCCCGGTTTGGACTATGTTGTCCCGGTTGTCTTCTTATTGTCCCGGTTTCTGTAAGTATTTTAATAGTTAAGGCTCATGTGACAAATATTAATTAAAGAAATTCGTTTGGTTCAATACATATCAATGAAATGTGAGATTCTAGTTGCCCCAAACAATTGCCGAGTTTGTCGCCG